TTCAATCGGTATAAATTTTGAAATGACGCATGTTAATTTGAAGTCCAGAGATCTCATAAAGCGACATGTGACATATAAGTGACCTCTTAATGAAATGCATTACTAATGAATTAATTATAGAGCAGAATCGCCTATACTGCAAGAGATTCGTCAAATGTTTAATTACAATCTTGTTAAATGAAAATGTAATTACATATATGAACAAAAAAAATCAATTTAAAAATTATATTTTGTATCTCTGATAGCGTTAAAATTAAAAAGCCGTTGATAAAAATCCTTCGACTTATTAGTAATCTCATTTAACTCAACTCTGATTCTACGCGATTATTTCATTAACTAAGTATGCCAAAACTTTTTTAATTTAATAATTTATCACTTCAGAAGCACCATGCTCCCTTACATCATGTGTTGCTCCTGACTTTCGATTGTCGACCACATTTTGCTGTGTGTTTTGTCCTGATTGGGTTGCCATTCCGTGACGCCGATAATAAAAGATAAAAGCGATACATATTGGAAGAATTACTCCACTAACAATTATGAGTGAAGCAGATGTACCTATCAATGCACTATCACATTCTGAAGACGTGGCAGTGGCATATACGGTATAGGTGCTGTAGGAGTAGTATGTAGTATAGGTACTTGTTATGGTGCGGTAACTGCAAACCGGAGGAGCTGGAATAGGACATAAATTTGAGCAAGGATCACAAGTAGGAGAAACACACGACATTATTTAATAGTGATATGCTGTTATATTTTAATAAATTTCTAGCTTTTTTTCTAAGATATTCAGAGTTGATTCAAAATATTAAAAAATTTAGGAATGGGTCGGATGATTAATTTATAATTTGTTAACATAATAGTTTGACTTTTCTGAAGTATGTCTCTTTATAGTTTTTTTTTTTTTTTTTTTGGTAAGTCACATAAACATTTATTTGTTTCGATACAAATTTTTTTGTACTGGTCACGCAATTAATATCATTTGAAATATTCATTACAATAACAAGCTTATTAAATCAATAAATTTAGGGAAATTTACACATAAAGGCCCAAAAATGAAAATAATTACGGATG